GTGCAACCCCGAGAATATCTGCCACTTATCCATGACTCCACTGTGTCCCGGTACCCATACGAGGTATACCCGGTTCCTGTAGGCGATCAGTATTAAAATTTGAGAACAGTCCTAGACCAGCTTTGAGGTGACCTCGTGCGCTTTAAGAGCGATGAGCGCCGCTCTGCTGTCCGATTGTATGTAGATGTGTTTCTTGGTTGCCCCACTTTCTACATACTGCCTCAGAGAGAGTTCAGTGTCGTGAACCTCGGCCTGAAAGACAGAGTTACCTTGCCCCATGCTGGTGAAAAGAAGCAGTCTGTATGCCGACGCCGTGGTCAATCTTTGAGCCGTCAAAATACCAGATGTGGCTGTCCTTCCNGGCTGTCCTTCCGGGCTTTAGGTCGTTCGTTGTCCCAGTTATTTCTCTCGGAGAAAAAGACCTTGAAGTTTTCTAAGAAGTTACATCTTGGAAGGCACAGGTCTATAAAGCTTATGCACAGCTCATCTCCTTGTTTTATAATCCTGAGGGTAGAAGAGTGTATGCGCTTCTTATCCTCTACACTGTCCTCTGATATGAGCCTTGCTGTAAACAGTGGAGTCTCTTTCTTGATTACAATGTGTAGGGGAGGCAATTCAAGAAGCACCTCGAGTGCCGCAGTTGGCGTTGTTCTCATCGCGCCTGTGATGCCCACGTAGGCCAGTCGTTGTAGCTTCCCGAGTTTGACCTGCGTGGACTTCACTTCTGCTCTTGCGATGTCCATGTTTCAGTTCCCAGCATCATTCAACCATCGGCATGCTTTCAATTATCTTAGTTTTGGGAAGGCTATAACGGGTTTCGCCGAGGGAGTTCTTCTCGTCAGCTTCATGATGCCCGTTGTGTCGACCCTCCTCTTCTTTTAAACCGGGCTTGGAACCATCTATGGCAGCGTTACGGTAATTGTTAAGAAGTAAACCATATTTTTATGGACGAAAGATTGAAATTAAAAAATAATAAAATCTATAGTCAAATCTTGTCAATATGTGAGTGAGATTAAAGCTAAGATAAGCACTATGTCTACTTAACGAATATCTTTGTTTCTCCTTTCTTTTTACAGCAGCAACTAGAAGCGTAAAAATAAAAGTTGACCGTGAGAAACGTTTTCAAAATATCACCGGCTTTGGCGGCTCATTTACGGGCTCTGTAAGCTATCTTCTGGAGAACTTACCACAAGAACTGCAAGATCACTTATACAAGTATTGAAATAAATGAAAAAAATATATATTAATTTATTTACATTTACTAAATTATGAAAAATTTTATCATTAGGTCCTTCTATTCGCAAAGCGGCATTGGTTTCAATTTGATGCGCACACCAATCGGTGGTTGTGATTTTGACTTGGAGCCCTGGGCGTATAATGAGCAGCCCGAAAACGAGACCACGCTTAGCAATTTTACCAAATTAGATCCACGCGAAGAGAAACGGATTGAGCAAATTAAACACTTGAAGCTGATTTCGAATGTGGAAAATTTGCGAATTAAGGCTGCCGCTTGGAGTCCACCACGTTGGATGAAAACCAACAACGCATGGACCGGATCGAGTCGCTTGAAAAAGGAGTACTATCAGACATGGGCCGATTATCATTTGCGTTGGCTAGAATTATGGGAAGAGAATGGCTTACCACTTTGGGCTATATCTACCGGTAATGAACCAACGAATGGCGTCTATCTAATGTACTTCCTTAGATTTATGAGTTTAGGTTGGACACCAAGGAAACAGGTAAGTGAGCATTGCATTTGGAAAAATGTGGAGTAAGTACGTTTGGTGGTCGTATTTTGTTTTATTTATCACAGGCGATTTGGTTGTCTGAGAACTTTGGTCCAACAATTCGCTCTAAATACAAGGATTTGCTTATATTTGGCGTTGATGATCAGCGTCATACCTTAGCGTTTTGGATGAAATTTGTGAGTGCAGTTTTTCATGCACTTGTGTGCATACATATAAAAAATACTTAGTTGATATATATACATGCTTACTTATGTACATTCATACATATGTGGCTATTCTTTAGATGAATGCATCGCGCGCCGATTCACTTCATTATCTTGGAGGATTGACAGTACACTGGTATTGGGATGAGATTTTCAAGCCTGTACTTATTGATATCGTGCATAAAGCAATGCCTGATAAAATAATGCTTATATCGGAATCGTGCATTGGCGATAAGCCTTGGCAAAAGTCTGCACCTATTTTAGGATCCTGGAAGCGTGCTGAGAAATATGCACGTTCGTTCCTACAAAATCTACAACAAGAATTCAATGGATGGCTTGATTGGAATATAGTTTTGGATGAACAGGGTGGACCGAATTATGTGGAAAACTTTGTCGATGCGCCAGTGATTGCCAATATGACAAGTACGTAAATCTTCTTAGCGGTATTAAATATTTTCAAAACTCAACTACCTCAAAAATTCAGGTTTTTTGATATGAAGTGCTGCAAAAGAGTGATTTTTGGAAAACAAATTTAAAACTAGATTTGTCCATAAATAGTAGATTTTTTGAGATACATACATTCATATATATTTTCAAATAGGACCAGCGCACGGCTGGCGGCTGTCCTATAATATAATGAATGTTATAATTCCGATGGAAAATACAGTACCGATTTTGTTTGCGATACACCCTAATACACATATGCACATTTAAATAATATAGAGAATAATTGCAAAATTTCATTTAGTGTACAAAAAGACAGATCGAAAGACACATATCTTCTCCATTTATGGAAAGTCTGCTAGATTGAACATATTCTCCTTATCAAACTTATTAATTGTATGATAAAATTTCCAAAAGCGAAAATTTTGATTTAAATACTTCTCCATATTATTAAACGTGCGATATGATACATGTGACATTTTGAGTTCATCGAGTTTTGAAGAACGTGTGCAATTTTTGTGTACTTATGCTATGTAAATATGTACGTATTTTTAACAGATCGCGTCGAGGTTTACAAGCAACCGATATTCTATACAATGGGTCATTTTTCGAAATTTTCTCCGGAAGGTTCTATTCGCATTGCTGCTGAGCCCACGAATATCAATGTGGACACGATTGCCTTCTTGCGACCAGATGGCAGCATAGCTGTTGTTGTTTTCAATAGGTTTGCGTATAGATTTTCAAATGTTATAATATTTTTTTTACGATTTGTTTATTAAATTTTTTTAGTGGTTATGCAAGCGTTGATGTAGGCATCACAGATACAGTACGGGGCTCCATCAAGTTCCAGATACCTGCAAAATCTATACATACGATTCTTTATAAATGAAAACCAAGGAATTAACGGCTTAGAAAAGTATCGTTATTGAATTTTAACTTATGCAGAATTGCACTATATGGGGCAATTTTGTAAGTCCAAATATTCCATTGAAAGCTTGTCATTTAATGTGTAGTGGAAATGGAAATCTGGCCATATTTGTATGTAGTTGACCAGAAACGAATTTAAAAAAAAAAATAGGTGCTACCTGTAATTATGTAGGTATGTATGTATAAGTAGCTAGGTGTCCTTTGTTGCTTTCAAATTGTTGTATACACTCACTAAGAGCGATTCTTATGCTATATTAAGGGTATTTTTTATTTATTTTACATATCTTATACGAGATATAAAGATTTATATGGAAGGGCCTCGAGGAAGTTTCCTAAATTTAGATATCCCTTGAAAATAAATAAACACATTTATATATACTTTTTTAATGCAAATATTGACTCTGTTGAAGATATATATGCAATTTAAACATATCGTTCATATTTAGGGGATATGCAGGATGCCAAAATCTATAAACGCAGCCGATTTTAGATTTAGCCTTTTGAAAACATACTAAAACCAGGTTTTAGAAGCCACTTGGCCCAAGCAAAGATAGCAAACACTGTGGGTAATATGGAGCATTATAAGAATTTAAAAAATTTTGGTTTTTGGCACTTTTAGTATAAAATCCTTTAAATATCAAATAAGTCAGCAAGGCCCAGAAAACTTACTATTGGTGATTTCGTTTCTACCAAAAAATTTTCCACAAAATTTTATCACCGTTTGCCCTTATTTTAGAATCGAACATGAAAAGAGAAAGGGGCAATCAAAATGCAAAGTTTTTTGTCTGAAACGAAAACTCCATCAGTTGAGTGTCCGGCAATGATACAAATGTATATAACCCATTTTCGAAAATATACCTTTACTTTAAAGTTCCTATCATCGGCATTACTTAAGATAAGACAATATTATTGATGTTATTAAGTGCGAAAGTTATCATTTTCGATTTATTCCCTTCTTCACATACTGAAGCTTTTAAAAAAATGTTATATACGCATTTGAAACAACTTCAAAATAAGACAAAATAAGAAGTTGCTGAACAAACGTTGTTGGTGCATAGATATTCTGTCGAAATCGAAATCCACAATAAAATCTAAATTTTTTAACTTTGGGCAAAAAATTTCTACGCCCATTTCTAGAAAATTCTTCGATTTGAAGACAAAATTACGATACAAATGTTATTAACGAAGGGATATTCCACCGAAATCGACAATAAAATCATCATTTTGTTAACTTTAACTACCGCGCCCATTTCTATGGGTTTATCGCCCAAAGAAACATTTATACTGGGTATTCTATCGGAATCCGCAATAAAATTTAAATTTTTGCAAAAACACGTTTTTTACGTCACTCTCAAACAAAAGTAAACGCTACAGTTCGGATTTATAAAGTTTGTTATATTTTAAGCCATCTGTTAAACAAGTTCGGAACTAGTTCGTGACCTGCGCCAATTTGAAAATACCCCATTAAATCTATTTATTTTGATTCCGTTGATACAATTTTTAAACATTCTTGTGCGGATCTTTTAGGCGTAAACTACTCATATATCATCCGAGGTGATGTTTTATAAGCAATATTTTGATTTGGGAAAAAAACTTTTTTTGGAGACATCGGGACTAGGCATGTTAATCCCGGGATCTCGGGATCGCGGCATTTTTAAGGTAACAAAAATCCCGGGATTCTTTGCCCTGATGGCAATAATAGAAACTCCTTTTATTGACCAGTATTGCTATATTTCTTTTTTTATTTAATAATTAATATTTTTTTTTAAATGTCTAGCTCATTATAAATATACCACCGCGCGATAGTAAATGTTAAACACAAATATCAATATATTCGCGAAACCATGGGCCAAATATTGTAAAATTGTGTTTTAGTTTTTCACTTTGACGTTAGTAATTCAAAAATGATTTAAAAAATTCAGGGAAATGTGCTTAGAAAAGAAGTATGGGTATCAAATTAAAGAGTAAGCCCTGTAGCATTTCAACAGATACAATTTTCCTCTTGCATTTGGTACCCATAATTTTATTCGACACTGCATTGAATTTTTTAAATAATTTTTGGAATTAATCATTTATTTGAAATTAAAAAGTCCTCAAAATAAATCCTAACGTCAGAAAAAATAAAAACGCCACTTTAGCGCCCACCACCCATTTATTTATTATATTTTTTTTTTTTATGGTAGGAGAGCTTCTCAAACAATATAGAAGCAATTTTTTCGATTTAAGTTGTTGAAAGGAATGAATATCCAAATCCCGGGACTAATCTCAAAGTCTGGTGTATTTTGATTTTTCGCTATGTGACATTTTCAAAGAGAGATGCCAATCTCATTGCTCTCATTAGTCTGTTCTAGTACCCATCAGATTTACAGGAATTACTGAGAAGCCCATCTTGTACATACATTGGCGCGTATTTATAGTCGAAACAAAGTGGATTACAAAGCTAGTTGTCGCCATTCCATTGAAAATTATGACAAAAACTAGCAATTAATTTTAGTGTCGACTTCATTCCTTCTTGCAGCATAAATGGTTGTCGTTTAATAAAATTTGCACGAATTTTAGCACGAACCGGTTCTTTTCAATTACGCTATGCGACAGTCAAAATCGGGATGGGATGAAACCAACGGGAAACGTTATATCGGTCATAAACAAGTTATACGTGTCCCGGCGTTTCGCTGGGTCACGTCTAGGAATCGAGATATATATATAACTATCATATAGGGGAAATTGTCACCTTTGGTGGTATTTTTTTGACATAACTCGAGAACCACTAGTCCGATTTTGCTCAAACAAATTCAAAAAAATTAAAAATTACAATTCATTTAATCTGTTCATATAACGTTTTTCTATATAATCAACAGTTTTGCCTGAACGGCGAAACGGCGGCCTTCCTGCGAGCAGAGTAAAAAGTAAAAAAAAAAAAATTGGCATGGCGTAAGAGAAAGGGAAGAGAAAATTTAAACTCGCAATTCCGGTTCGGTTTTAATTTCGTAAACTTACCTTGCTTGTGGAGACGACTACCACATTATTAGCGGTCGGCTGTGGATTCTCCAAATAATCGCAATATGTAGCTGTGCAAACACATACCAAGCCATACTTAGTTCGCCGGGGCTTACATTCACTGCTTGCATTGGCTTGGATTTGCAAAGTAGATTTAAATACTTAATCGAAATTTACCTTCTGTTAATTCTGATTTTTTTCTTACCATCGAATATATAGCAAATTAAGCTTACAAGCAAAATACTCTTATTTTTGAAAATCATTTCGGCATTTAAATCACGGATTTTAACTTTCGATCTGTTTTATTTTCAGCTTTGCTTTGTACTTTTCTTTTTCTTGTGGCGAATTAAATCTTACGAAAACGTTGTGGTTTGCATTGTTAAACAATGCAAAATACTCGAATTGATAAGCGAGCTGACCGACCCACACTTGCTTGCCATTCAAAGTATACTGGTCAAACGTGGCTCTCGCTCGCCTATATGTATTATGGCTTATCATTCAATGACTTACTTTCTCTCATTTTTATTTACTAATTATTTTTCGACTACCTAATATTATTATATTTTAATGGCCTTTGTTTTGATTGCCTTCTTTGTATTCGACGCTGTTTGCTTCATTCATCATTAGCTTGATGACCAATTTAAATTAACGAATAAAATTTTCACAAAGAGTCATAATTTACTTATTAATAGAAAGGAAATATCACTGCTTTTGTTTCTAAGAGTAAGGTGGGAGTGCAGCTTATACAATTAGAGCGAAAGAGAGTCTTACTTACCAGTGTTGCCACCTTAAAATACCTACCTACCAAATCAGTTTCCAAACCACACAAATTTTTTTCATCATTAAAACTAGATTTATTGAATTTGCTTGGTTTTTGACTACAAAAAGTATTGTTTATAGTATTTTACTAACTATTCCCACCAATCTTTAAGGTTAAACAAAACGAATTCGGTCCTTTTAATAAAATAATTACTGTCTTGTATAAAAAATACTGTTGTAAAAAATGAGAATACCTTTGAGATTAATTCAATTCATATATATTTTTTTTGTGTGAAAAAACAGAATTAGACATTTTATACATTCCAATGAAAAAAAATTCCAAATTTGTTTTGATTTGCATACACTCACCCTACCAAAAGTTTTGTCAAACCAACCAAGCTACCAAAGGAGAATGAAGCTACCTATTTTTGTCCAATTGGACCAAAACAGTAACGTTGCTACTAACAAAATCTTTAATTATTGAATCATGGTAACGAGTGCAGTGTACCTGGGTGTTCGATTAGTCGCCTTTTTTCAAAAAGCGGGTTTCGAGTTATTCAAAAATGACAACTTGAAAGAAACTGGTTCTTAACCGGTTTTATTTTACATATTAGTAGCACTTACTATTAGTCAGAAATCGTTACCAAAATTACAATATGTACATTAAGGTGGTCCAATTTTTGTATGGGGAAAAATTTTTCATCCTAGAAAACGGGACACCCCCTTAGTTTTTTTCTTTTAATATTTGTAATATTTATGCCAGCTTCCAGTTTTCTACTGCAACTAGTAGAGAGTGCTCAATGACCTTCAAATGCGCTACTGGATCGCTGTGAAACTGGCAAAAATATTGGTGATTTTTATAAAAAGTTGCTGTTGCCATGACAACTAAAGCTTGTGATAATTTTTTTTGATAACTTAAATTTGAAATGTTCCTATGTTACTTAACCGATTGTTTAATTAATATATGTATACAATACTTCTAGAGTAAAATATGAGCATCCTCTAAATATATACGTAGAAACGTAGGGTTCGGTAGAAACATCTCTTTCGGCAAAAGGGAAAATTTTGGAAGATGCTCCAAACCCTATCTTGGAAAAATTTTATTGGACCACTCTAATGTACATAAGTATAGCCACGATACAAAAAATAAGGTAGTTTCCATGATACAATGACTTTTAGAAGATCGTCTCACTGACAGAAATCGTGTCTCGTTTGTTTTGTTAAAATCTATTTGCATGTGAAACCTTTTTCCATACAAAACAAGCGATTGAATAGCAGCTTTTGGAGCGTTCGCCCAACTCAGCAGCACAAATGCTGATTACTCGTCCTTGCAAAGGATGCATCAATGCCTCGAGAAGCAAACAAATTTTCTAAGGCACTCCGCACATTAAGCGCCGAATCATATTAGTGTACTCGTTTCGGCATACTAAAGAATTAAGCTTTTATGCCGAACACATGTATTTCAGTGAAGCTCTGTACATTACCTACGATTCATTACCATGTCTTCGCTTAATCATAAATGCTTCAATGTAAGGGTGGGTTCACACACAAAGCCAAGTGGCGCCGAGCGAAGCAAAGCGGAACAAAACGAAGCTGCTGGTGTTCACAATGAACGAAGCGAAGTCGAGCTCTTCTCACGGACTCTGCTGCAAAGATGCTACAAAACTTACCGTCAATGAAAAGCGGCAAAATGTGTAAGCGGTTACCCAACGCATAGCACTTAACATGTAGATGATGTTGGGTTTTGATTTTTAAAAATAAATGTATGAAGAAAAAAAATATTTTTTGCCTAAAATATTA